GCTGCCAACTAGGGTGTCAGTATAATCGTACCCTGTGGGAGCATGCAGAAGGGCTGCAGTCCATGACCTGCACTGTTTAGGCTAAGGGCAGGCTTCCCGCAGCCAGAAGCTATTGCAGACTTCCATGAAGCAGCTGGTGGAGGAGAGGGAAGCTGCAGGCTCTGTGCCATGCTTGCTAGTGTCTCATTGGATGCAATGAGGAGAGACTTTAATGGGGAGCTTGGATTCATGGACTGACCTACGGCAATCCTCTTGTCTTCAGAAATATCGGGAGGGAAGGGTGTTCCTCCTCTCCTATAAGAGAATGTGAAAGGCCATAGTGGCAGTGTGGTGTCCTCATTTCCATCTGGACCAACTGCTGCTGCCAGCATTGCTGAGCGTCCTGAAAATGTGGCTGAGTCCTACCTGGAAGGGTGCATTGGTCAGAGCTGGCAGGGAGCCGAAGGAGGTGGCTGGGGACTGTTTGAAGGTGCCTCATCTTGACACGTCTTGGGTCACTGTACCTTGGAGCCATGCAAGACTTCAGGTGCTGCTCAGCTTGTCCCAGCAAGGCAAGTCACAAGAGCTACTGGCCAGAGCTGGCTGTAGCAGGCTGGCTGAGCCCTTGTTCCCTGTTGGCATCACATGCATACACTTACACTTCACGGTGGTGAGCTGGACCTCACTCAGCAATGCATTTCCACTTGGAGGGTATGAAATTCCAAGGGACAAGCTCTTCAGCCTGGGAACAAGCAAAAAAAATGTCCTTGTCCTGCTGCTCAAGTGAGATCTGATGGAGGGAACCAGTCCTCCTCCAAGTTGCTGCGTAAAATGGAGACCTCGGTACCGTTGCAGGAGCTGACTGCTGGCAGGGTTCCCTGGCTCCCAGATGCTCAGCCTTCCTCCTTCCTCTGCAGTTGGCAACACTGCCAGCCTGGCTTAAGCTCCTTCTTTGAGGCAGGTAGTTGCTGAATCTGGGTGGTAGGCAAGTGGGGTGTGATGTGGAAGTTTACTGGGACCATCCTGACCACTGGGACCATCCTGACCACTGGGACCATCCTGGCCAGGAGTGGCTGATGTCTGTCTGGGGCCTTGGAAGATGGTGGCAGTTTCTAGAAATGACTGGACCATCCCCACCTGCCTAGTTCTGAGGATTTGAGGCCAAAGGGGTCAGGGCTTGTTAAATAGTTGCGTGATTTAAGCAAATTGGCGGAGCAGAGCCATGGCAACTGATGCTCAGGAGTTCCACTGGAGTCCCCTGCAAGTCCCACAGCCTGGAACTCAGGAGATACCTGGGCCTTCAGGCTGCTGCTCTGAGGCTTTCGATTCATTATTTCAGCCACATAGAGGGCTGTCTCTAGGACACCTAACGCTGTGAACCCTGGGGCATCTTGTAAAGACAGGGCTTAGCATTCTGGGAGGAATTTGAGATTTCAGGCTGGTCTCTGCAGGTGAGAGGCACAGGAGGTGAGGACATGGAGACACTTGATAAATGGAGGCATGGTAGATGGGGCCAGGGACAGGCAGTTTCAGAGGGGAGCTTTGTAAAGCTTGAAGGATTTCTGCAGTTGTTTAGTGGTCAAGGTTGTAGAGGTGGTGAAGGTATTTTGGCCCATGTGCTTGGCCACTGGGGCTCTGGGCAGGTTTATTCCCTCAAGGTTTTTCTGAGAATAGGATTCCCCAGGTCTCAAAGGAGTTCAGTGGAAGCAGTGATGAGGTCCTCCTGCTGCCTGTGCCATGTGCATTGTGGGCATCTCCATTTGCTTCATGACTGCTCGTAAGTCATCCACTCCATCCTTTCCCATCCATCCCAAAGCTGCAGGTGTGGGACTCTCTCTCCTTTCACCTCAAGGGCAACATCAGAGGCAATATATGAGGGAGGGGAGACTATAGCAACTCTACCCCTTGCCCTTCTCAATGTGTGTAACACCCAGGCAACTGGTAAAGGTTGTCCCATGGGACAACTTACTTGGTGAACTGAAGCACAGAGAAGAGCCTTTACAGGGGTCCCACAAGGGGGTTGGCTGAGCCATGGCTGGACCAGCTCTGCCCTCTAGCACTGTCCAGCACTTCAGGGATGTTTAGGTGCACCTGCAGCAGCACATTTGCTCACTGCTTTCCAGTGCTGAAGCCTGAGCAATGGCAGAGGCTCTCGGTGGTGGAGGGAAACCCTGTTTGCAGTGAAGTAGGACAAGCCTTTTGCCTCATTCCATCAGACTGCAGCGGGCAGATGACGATGGCGTTTATATCAGAGCCTGTTCTCCTCTCAGTGACACTGTTCTGGGACGGAAAGGATTTCCCTTTCCCCAGCTTTCTCATCTGCATATTCGCTGTGCTGGACTTCTCCAAGGCTGGTTAAGAGCTTGAGGAGGCAACCTTATTTGGCTGCTTCTGTGGGGGGAAGCTGTGGAGCCGGTTGTTTGCTCCTGTGAGCCCTTTGCAGCCCAGGAGAGGAGCAGGGATGCTGCAGTTCCTACTGGGATTAGACTCTGCAGCTGGCTCCTCCTCCAGCTCTGCTGTGGTTGTATACCCTGTCACTGGCACTTGATCAGCTTTCAGAAACCCCACCGGCACGGCTGATGTGGATTTGTTTTACCTCAAAAGCCTAGGACAAAACTGGGTTGTAAACAGTTTACAGCAGGGGTTAGCATGACCCTGTGAAAACGCTGCAGTATCTAAGTGCTGCGTAGTCCTAGGAGGAGACTAATGCGTGGACTGGAGCCCTGCTAACACAGTTCCTGGAACCAAGCCTGGGCTGCATCGTGCTGCCTGCGCCCTGCCCCGGGTGGGGAACCACAGCAGGGCTGCCTGCGTCTCTGCAGAGCGACAGCCAGCATCGCTCTTCTCCTGAGCAGTACAACACAGGCAGTGCGGGATGTGAAAGTCCAGGGAGTGACTGGGAGGTGCAATTTGCTTTTGTGAGATGGACCCGGCCAAAGACCTGCCTCCCTGGTGCCCCTTCCCCAACTCGTCAAATGAGTGAGCTGAATGTTTTGCTTTATTCCTTGTGCTCCTTTTGCAGATCTCCCACCCCCCATCCAAGGCACTGTTTCTGTGCAAGCCCTCTCACCCCACAGTCACCCCCGGCTGGTTCCCCTCTTGCCCTGTGACCATGAGGTTGCCACAGCGCAGGATTGCACTGGGTAGCATGTGAGTCTGTGCCGGAGCTGCTGAGCGGAGACGCCCCATGCCCCTTGCTGTTGCCTGCAGACCAGCACTGCCCCATCTGCCTTCCCAGGGCTCCGTCTCTGTCACCAGCACTTGCTGATGCTTGGGACCCCCAGCAGGACGTGCCAGGAAAGCTCCCAGCCTCCAGGAGAGAAACCTCTGTTGGAGATTTGGGCCGGATCCAGCCCTGCTGATCGCAGTAACGGAAGTCCCATTGGCATGGGATAGCCCACGCTTGGCAAGGTATAGGGAGGAAAGATGGGGATGTGGGACTCTAGGTGACCAAGCCAGGGGCTGAGGGTCTCTTTGGAGAGAGGAAGGGGGATTTCTTAGAGGAAAGAAGAGGCTCAGATCTGTCCCTAGACCTGCCAGTGACATTGTGGCCAAGGGATCTTGATTTAATTTCCCTTTTCATGCAAGAGTGAAAGCGACCCCCCTGCTTTCTAGCAGCGTGAGTCTATTAAACTCTTTGGGATCTCTGAATGAAAGACCTCTCCAGCCCAGTGCACTCAGGAATGGAGGAGGGATGGGGCCAGGCTTGGACTTCAGCTGGTGTTAGCTCCTCCCACAGTGGAGGTGAGCTCAGGAGCTGGGCTGCACACAGCTGGGGAGGGAAAGCAAAGCTGAAAGCCTCTTAGGGAGTTTAATGGCATCTGCAGAAGGCTGGGGTTCTTGCCCCCCTCTCTCAGGTTGCACCTTTGGAGATTACTGCGTTGGATGGTATTTGTGCTGGATGAAGTCTTTTGAGTAAGAAAGCAAATAACCTCTTTGCATGTTCTCCCTTTGGGTGTGATACTGTCAGCTCTCACTGACCAAGCTGGATCAATACTCAAGACTTCAGAATGCTGCAGAGAGTGACAGAGGTTTCCTAAATTGTTTTTTTTACCTAGGTCTTTGTGAAACCCTGCACGGTTCCTATGGTGAAGGCACCAACACAATCTCTTTTAAAAGTCCTCTTGTTGAAGTCCTGCCCTTTCCTCACCATTCAGGACCTGAGAGCAGTTTTTCCAAAAGTGTGAGCTGTCACACCCAAATCCCAGTGCAAGCAGGGACATTTGCTGGCCACCATGACTGGCCGCTCCCCCTCCCTGCTGCTTCAGAGCAGTGGGGTGCCCTTCTCTTCCAGCCTGAACACCTTTTAGGACATTAATTCTGTATTCACTTTCTCTCACCAGAGGTGGCTGTGTTTCAGTTGTGGAAAAGTGCTTTCTGATTTTTGCGGTTTATAAAGCACTTCAGAAGCACTTCAGAGCCCCTCGGGCTGCCAAGTGTTGTGGTGGGAACTGCCATTACCAAACAGGCCTTTCCAGCTGCAGAAGGTCCATTTCGCCGCCTTACGGGCACCCTGGGCCACTCATGCTGCCCTGGTAGGAGAAATGTGAATGTTGTAGATGGGAAAAAGGGGAGAGACTTGTGTGCGAGTGGTGAGAAGTGTGGTGGGATGAGCCATGGTGAGATGTTCAGGTGGAATGACCCATCAGTTAGAGCTGCCTGCGATGGTGGGATGGGTGTGGGAGCTGTGCATCAGTGCCCCTCCCCAGGATGTGGCAGTGGTGGGGTCACTCCCCATGGAAGAAGGGGGATGCTCAGGGTGCAGGCTGGCAGCATTGCCCTCTGCCTCTCTCCTTCACGTCCAGCTGGGCTCTGGGCATCTCCCATGGAGAGGCAGATCACAGCAAAGGGAAGAGGGGGTGACAGTGGCCCACACTGTGGGATTGTCATCTTGGGGAGGATCCCAGACTCCAAGCTGCCTGCTGAGGCTAGGAGCCCTACAGCTTCTGCTGTTTGTCCCCATTCACAGAGCCACAGGTGCCACCATGGCACCCGCTGCCTGCTCCCCTTCTCCCTTGCAGCCGCAGCCTTCTGACTCCTCTCTTGTTTTCTCTCCCCTCCATCCCGGTCCCTTGGAGCAGCAGCGGCCGGTGAAGCAGTCTCTCAGCAAGTCCCTGTGCCGAGAGTCCCACTGGAAATGCCTGCTGCTCTCCCTTCTCATGTACGGCTGCATGGGAGCCATGACCTGGTGCCATGTCACCAAGGTGACCCGCCTGACCTTTGACAGCGCTTACAAGGGCAAGTCCATGATGTATCACGACAGCCCCTGCTCCAACGGCTATGTCTACATCCCCTTGGCCTTCCTGGTGATGCTCTACGTGGTGTACCTGGTGGAGTGCTGGCACTGCTACACCCGCAACGAGCTGCAGTACAAAGTGGACGTGGAGAGCGTGCACGAGCGCGTGCAGCGGATGCAGCAGGCGACCCCTTGCATCTGGTGGAAGGCCATCAGCTACCACTACGTCCGCAGGACCCGGCAGGTTACCCGCTACCGCAACGGGGACGCCTACACCACCACCCAAGTGTATCACGAGCGGGTCAACACCCACGTGGCAGAGGCCGAGTTTGATTATTCCAATTGTGGAGTTAAGGACATCTCCAAGGACCTCATTGACTTGGAGAGCTACCCGGCCACGCGGCTCCGCTTCACCAAGTGTTTCAGCTTTGCCAATGTGGAGTCGGAGAACTCCTACCTAACCCAGCGGGCCCGCTTCTTCACAGAGAATGAGGGCCTAGATGACTACATGGAGGCCAGGGAGGGGATGCACCTCAAAAACGTGGACTTCAAGGAATACATGGTGGCCTTTTCTGACCCAGACAACCTGCCTTGGTACGTATCCCACTATGTCTTCTGGGTGGCGGCTCTGCTGACCCTATCCTGGCCCCTGCGGGTGCTAAATGAGTACCGCACCTCCTACGTCCATTACCACGTGGAGAAACTCTTTGGGTTCGACTATGTGGCGGTGACGCCGGCCGAGGAGCGCACCTTCTGCCGGAGGATGCCCCGCGTTAACACGGTGGACAGCACCGAGCTGGAGTGGCACATCCGATCCAACCAGCAGCTGGTGCCCAGCTACTCGGAAGCGGTCCTGATGGACTTGGTGGGACTCTCTGGCTGCACCAGCTACTCTGCTTGCCGGTACGGGGGCTACCGGCAGAACTGCGAGCGGTGCCACAGGACTATAAGCAGCTCTTCCATCTTCTCCCGCAGTGCCCTGAGCATCTGCAATGGTAGCCCCAGGATCCCCTTCAGCAGCAGCCGCTTCTCCCTGGGACGCCTG